CCTGAGGCATACAATCTCTGATTACGCCTTTCTTCGGAAGAATAGTAAAGCCGTTGGTCCTCGGTCCATGAGTTGATGGGTAGGGTGTGGGAGCTATCTCCATGGCGTCGGTAGCATTGATACTCAGTATGGAAAACAAGATGGACGGAAAACAAATCAAGGAGAAAAAAAATCATTGATCTGCCAATGTCAAAAGAAGAGGTTTTTAATATCCTGAAACTTTGCACCAGACAGCACTTGTGTAAAATGCAAGATTCACCAGATAATGACTTTTGACCGTCTTTTCAAAATTCTGGGCCACTACCATTTACTTAAATTCGTTAAAATGCAGGTCTCTCATAAACTGATAGGAATGGTAATACCATAGAGGTAACTCTAAGACACGAACGTCCCGAAATAATGTGCTCAACGTTTTGGCTCAGCTCTGGTACTCACTTCGGTCCCAAGCTAATGATTCACCCCTCGAAACATAGGAAAATTCAATAACCCCTCATTTTAGCTGTCAAACTTTCATAGCGAATCAAAACAAACATAGTGTAGTACTAAAATTTCGTCTACAATGGGATACGTTAATCGTTTGCTTGGGACCAATAGGCTAGTCAAGTAGTGAGCCAATTTAAAATCGTTAGTTTCGTATTGATTGTTGGTAATACCAACAATCAATACGAAACTAACGATTTTAAATTGGCTCACTACTTGACTAGCCTATTGGTCCCAAGCAAACGATTAACGTACCCTATTCTAGTCAAAATTCTAGTACTACACAATGTTTGTTTTGATTCGCTATGCAAATTTGACAGATAAAATGAGGGGTTAGTGGATTTTCCTATGTTTCGAGGGGTGAATCGATTAGCTTGGGACCGAAGGTAGTACTAGAGCTGAGCCAAAAAGTGGAGCACGTTTCTTCGGGACCTTCTAGTCTTAGAGTTACCTCTATGGTAATACCAACAATCAATACGAAACTAACGATTTTAAATTGGCTCACCACTTTAGTAGCCTATTGGTCCCAAGCAAACGATTAACGTACCCTATTCTAGTTGAAATTCTATTACTACACTATGTTTGTTTTGATTCGCTATGAAAGTTTGACAGATAACATCAGGGGTGTGTGGATTCATGCAGAACATGCAGGGGTGAGTGAAATAGCTTGGGACTGCTTGGGACCGTTGTTCTGGTACTGAGTGAGCCAAAAATAATAATGATTATATTCGGGACCCAGTGGTCTTAGAGTTACCTCTATGGTAATACCATAGAGGTAACTCTAGGTAGTAGACTAGTAGGTCCCAAAAAAAACGTGCTCAACTTTTTGGCTCAGCTCTAGTACTATCTTGAACAGCCATACCAACAATCAATTCGAAACTAACGATTTTAAATTGGCTCACTACTTGACTAGCCTATTGGTCCCAAGCAAACGATTAACGTATCCCATTCTAGTCGAAATTCTAGTACTACACAATGTTTGTTTTGATTCGCTATGAAAGTTTGACAGATAAAATTAGGGGTTATTGGTTTTTCCTATATCCGGCGCCGGTGGTGCAGTGGTAAGCGTGACTGCTTTCTAACACCCCAATGGGTCTGGGTTCAATCCCCAGCTGAGGTCGGTGCGATTTTTCTGAGGCATAAAAATCTCTGGTCACGTCTTCCTTCGGAAGGGAAGTAAAGTCGTTGGTCCCGGCCCATGTGTGTTGTGAATGGGTGCGATATCCTACGCAGGTGTGGAAGCTCCTGCACATTCGGTTGCCGTCAGTGGATGGCAATCGATGTCCGTCGGTGATTGGCACTAGATTGCGGAACAGAGACCGACGTTAAATAAAGGAAAAGATGGTTTTTCCTATGTTTCGAGGGGTGAATCGATTAGCTTGGGACCGAAGAGAGTACCAGAGCTGAGCCAAAAAGTTGAGCTCGTTTCTTCGGGACCTTCTGGTCTTAGAGTTACCTCTATGGCCATACTCAGCTCATTAAATCGCTTGAGCATGGATACTAATGAATTCCACCTCGTCGTGCAGTCAAGAATGAGCTGAACTTCCTTTCCATTCTCAACTTTAACGTATTGTTGCAAAATATCGTTCTTAGTTGGAGACCTTCTACAAAGCGTTACCATGTTTTTGATCAAAACTGGAAAAGCTGTGGTAAGTTCGTGTTCCACATTTGTATCCCCTTTTTTACGAAATATTCCCCATCGTCTTCATCGTCAGAATCATCGCTTGATAGTAGAATTAATCATGTTTTTGCAGAAAAGTATACAATTGATTGACGCATTCACTTACCTGCATCTGAAGTCAAATCATCTGAATCAATGTGGGATTGGTTATTCTCAGCGATTAAAAAACACATAAAGCAACCAAAGATACAGACAAAACGGTTGCTACGACTACCATGACAAACTCGCTCTGTAACATAGCTCGATCGGAGTGGTAGAAGCATAATGCTATATATACAGGCACAAGAGAGTATTTGTTGGTATTTGCAGCAAAAAAAGAGGTAAAAAATCGGTGATGACGAAAAACTCCTAAAAATTTAACATTAAAAAGTGGAGTTTGACGTCATGGAAAGTGTACTTCACAAAAACTACGACATATTTCGCACTACACGTACACCGTTTTACGATTATTTCCTCACGTGTATATACCTCATTGGACATAGCTTGATCTGAATCGAGAAAAGACATAACAATAAAATTCCCATGAAAACACGTGTATCGTCTTCGGCTTTACTTCGTGAAGCAGCTTGCCAACAATTTGCTCGTTTCCTTCTACCGCCCCAAGTGAGCTGTGTCGCACAGGCTGCTTGTCATGAAAAAAGGAAGAAGATTATATCATTATTGCTTTGCACATAGACATGAGACACAGCGTTATCATTCGGTTCGTTGATCGCTTGTCATTTTGTCATTTGGAGATATTTTTGATTCCTTGGTTATTCTTATACAAAACAGAAACTACGGCGATATGAATGCCATGAGCAAGGTATAATGGACGGGGCATTTGAGAAACCCCTTCCTACTTTATTTATTACTGAAGCAGCGTCCGTTGTAAATGCGACCACGTTGTCTTTGAGAGGAATGCCGAAACCAGGTAACTTAGAATCCAAAAGCTGAACACACTTGTCAGCTGCCATTGAACCGATGATACGCTTTAGACCGATGTTTCAAACTGTTCCACCTCGATGCACAGCAATGTTCAGATATCGTCGGTTTCGTGATGATGTTCACTCATCAAAACTGATGCTTACTGTTTACTTCTCCTGGCGCATCCTATCGAACTGCTTTGCATATTCTTTGACCACAGATTTGAAGTAGTTTGTCACTTTTAGGCAATCAGTTTGATTTGTAACAGGAAAGTTTTTAAACCCTCTAGCAAGTAAGCCACTTCGCATGTCCGCCGATTTCGCAAGAACGCTAAGGAAATCACATCCTTTACCGACATGCGAGCATAAAGCCTCGTCAACATTGTTTGGGCATCCGAAAAACTTGGTTATAGTGGCAATTTTCTTCGGTGCTGTGGCAGTCTGGCTGGTCGGTAATTCGAATGGTCTTTTAGTGGTTTGTATTTTGTGTTGAGACCGTACACTATGCTTATTCCTCGCAAATAATAGCGCCATACCGAAGAGGATCCCGTCCTCTGTCTTTGGTTTTGTTTCAAAATCCATCTTACTTTCGAACAACCGCACTTCCGTCGAGTTCAACTTCGCGACGCGTAGGGGAAATGGATGTAATGTCGGCCTAAATGCCCCTAATATGGGCCCATATGTAAATTCAGCAATCTACTACATTTTCAATAGCGACCAAAAATATCCATTAGTACCGTTCCAATGACGCGTTCGTCTAAATAAAATTGATAAATAGCAGATTTTCAGCGATGGGCCCTATCTTAGATCGATAGGCCAACATTAGAGCCATTTCCCCTATTGGTCCTTTCAGTTTATGCTTGAGTCGTTTTCGTTTTCAATAGCTTTACCGCGAAGCAATAGTTTAAGCATTTTTCTTCTAGAACTGTAATTTACTCATTTTTTTTTTAAATGCATCGTAGAAATACCGCTTAGAACTGCTGGACGATGTGATTTATTCTAATGTGTTTGAAGTTTCAAATACATCACTATGGTAAAGAAAAGGATGAACTATTTTGCCAACTGACGAATCTATTGTATGTTTCCCTCTCCGAATTCCATGAAACTTCGCCTAATTGTTCACTAGCTTCAACCATGGCCGAGGTCATTGAGTTGAGATTTCCAAAGGCCGAAAATTACTGCTCTCGTTCTCATTCCGAAAAAGTGTACATTTCGATGATATCAAAAGTACAAAAGTACGTCATCTCCCTGAATAGATCGCTCTCTGTGAGACGTTAAATCATTCGAACCAGCGCAAGCCTATACATACTGATACGATTTGTGTTCACACAAAGTATAACGCTGGTCTTTGGTCATAAAATCATGGTTCATGACGAATATAAACGCCTCTTACCATAATGCGATTTTAAGCTTCATTAGCGTAAAGTGGTTCCACGGTATTTGAAACCGATGTGTCGTAGGTAGTGAGGTTTATTTACACTCGCCTCAACTGACACCTTGTGCCTACCCCGAACTCAATTAACTCCACAGTTATATACCAACTTTTGTAAACAAAATTTTGTAAGCCCTTTCCTCGCAAACCGAAATGACCACCCACGCAAATCAATGGCGTCATGGAATAGAAAGTTTCCCCTACCCAATGATGCTATTGTTGGTTTGTATGGACAGCCTACACTTTGCGAGGAAAGGGCTTACAAAATTTTGTTAGCAAAAACTGATAGGCCCTTTTCAATTGTTGGTCGAGAATTGTTATTTTAGAGACATCCAAGCCCTTCCTTCGTAAGTTGTAAAAATATTCGCGACCAGATCGTGAATCGAATCCGCCGCCTCCGGCATGGTATGTCCCCCCATCAATAGACTATCAGGAGGCGCATACTAACACTCGTTGTTGGTCAAATAACAAATATACAAAGTGCACGTTTCAACACATGGTTTTATTAGTCTAATACACTCAAAATAGCATCCCGTAAGAAAATTATGTTCAACGATTCGACAAAACATTCGTTGGACAAAGTGTCGACGACGCGATCTTGCGTTTGCTGTTGGTCACAAGAGCACAGCTTCATGACAGCCATCACAATCGCGGCTGCCAGAATCAATTTGTTCGACTTGAACCGTACAAACATGTCCTCGGAACACACACGAGACCGCAAGCTGCCAACAGGGAACAAAACGTTTTGAAATGGGATTAAATTAATGATCTGATCAGTAGAAACATGGTGTATGCATGCATGGTTTACCTCTGGTAGATGTTGAATTTCTGCGCATAAACCACTCGTAGTAGCTTAATACCGAACGATCCGAAAAGATCCTTCCGGACGACGCCGAGTGTTAAGATGTGATCCTTTGAAAAGCGCTCAACCGCACCCAGCAGCAGCGAATGGTAAATCTGGGAGATCACAAACAAAGACACTACCTATCAGTCACTGAAGATCACGTATTCATATAAGCATAATTAATTAACGTCCAAGTACAATTGTTTTTTTTTTTTTCATTTATTTAAAACGAAACGCACAGCAGGAGTTCAGAACTACCCGACAGGCTACTAACCTTGTGGTTCAACGTTTTGAGTATTTCGAATTCCAATTCCATCATTCGTTTGTCCGACCAGACAAAGGCAGGATTGCTGTTTGCTAGCAACCGCTTGATCGCATTCCGATCGAGTGCAGTATGAGCATCGAAGTACTTACTAACCACGCTCACCACACTAACGACATACACGGGAACTTGTTGCAGAAAGTTTGTTCTCGCCCCAGAAGCTCCACCGCCTTCGGCAATAATCTTGATCAGCAACTGTTCCATCGTGTCGATCGAAGAAAACTCTACAGTGTGTGAAAGCTGGAGCTGAGCGCAGACAGCGGAGATCGATCGTGTGATTGACGGCATGATCGTGTCCGTTGGATATGGATTCAATATGGCCTGCTCGGTATCCACGTGGTAGGCTTGCTTCCAATCGGAATAGAAGCCGGATTCTGTGCTCAGATTGAGCAGTGTCACACCTTGGCTCAGTTCAAGGACTTCAGGCGCCTCTTGGTCCATTGCGGATTTCTTATTCTGAAACTTTGAGAATGTTGACATGTTTAATTACGGTTTAATCTGCAGTTTCAATATGTATATTTACCGTTAGATAATTAAAGTATAGAGAAGGTTGTCAGCAGTAATCAACAACGCTGGCCTACTTGTTTGGAACAGCAGGGCCTCTAATCTAAGTGCTTTGTCTTGAAGTTGCAATGTATGTACTCGGCTGACAAAATTAAAATGTGGTCATCATCGGCCATGTTGTGCAACAGCTTCCCTTCGTTAATTCGACAAAATCGTGGTTGGATTATGGGGGAACACTTATAGCGAATTCGTTTATTATCGGGGTTGGAACCAGTTCCAATAGTACGAAACTGAACTTTTTGTCAGTGCGAACCTCAACCTGAGCTGGGTTTTAAAAACAAACGATCAAACTGACGTTTGTCAGAAAACAAGCAGACCCAATCTTGATACCCGATCCAGGTTGGAACTGAACGAATAAACGAATTCTCGCGTCACTTTTCAAATAGACCAATGTAACATATCCACCATTTTGAGAAAATCGAAGTTGAAGTTCGACAGATTATTATTTTAACTGTTTAGAAACAATACATTTTGGAATACTATTTTTAATGTAGTCAGTGTATAATGACGTTGAAAATTCAGAAGAAACGGTAAAATCACAATTTTACTTTGAATTTCATGCTACAACATAGAAAAAACCACATAGGACGTTTTGACAAGTCGAGTTGTACATAGGACTTGTTACATTGGACGATTTTTCTCACTGACATAATCAATGAGTGTTACATTGGACGTTTTGTCTACATGATACTAGATTCCCTTTCACAGATTTCAGAGTATAGTACCTAACTTTAGATTGGCCCCGCCTTTGGAAAATGAGCACCAATCATGTTAGGCAGTCCGAATGACCGAAGTAACAATCATATACCCATCATTTCAAACTGTACATTGGACAATTTTTGATCGATGATTTTCTTAAATAAATGAAAGTAAATTTGCATGGGTGTTTTTGTATCACATACAATGATAGAAGAGCAATAGCTTGTATCGCTTAACTCGATTTGTTTACATTTGTTACATTGGTCTATTTGAAAAGTGACGCGAGAATTCGCTATTAATAATTCAACACTGTCAAACCGTGCGAAATGAAAACATAAACATTTAGACTGTGAACCATAGAGATTGCTGACGTTTATCGTACGCACACTACGTCACGTATACGTATACGCAAAATGTTTTCATCGGGAAAAAAAAACTTCATAGCAGAAAATTTTCCCGATGAAAACAAATCACTGACACAATCATACTTTAGCAATCTCTATTTGCCGAGTTAAATTTAACTCGTGGTTAAAAGTGACATTTCGAAAGTTATTCTCGGTGTTTGAAAATCCCTGTACTGTCGATCGACCGGTTTTCGAGCCACGGTTGTCAAAATTTCTTCTTGTCTGTCAGAAATAACCATGCTCGGATAGCAGGGTTAATCGATAACTTTCCATATGTCAAATTTTAACCAAAAGTTAAAATAATCCACCAAATGGTTCAGAGCCTTAGTTTGCATAAAGCAACCCCCGTTGCTACGTTGCTACTCTCGTCATTATTGATAGGTGACCTACTAGGTAGCTAAGTTAATATTTGATTTTATTTATATTTTAAAAGGTGTAAAACAAGTCAAATTCTGAATTCAATTACAAATCATGCAAAATTTAATTACCAAGCTAAAGCTAAACAATGTTAATGATTATCGATCTGGGAGTATCATTATCCATATTTTAGTAGCATAAAAAAATAAATTCCAGCAGCATTTCATTCTAATGTGCCATTAAATCACGACCCAGTTCTATTTATGGCAATGATTCAGATAGTGATCTATTTCTCGCTCCAACGAAAGCCAAAAAGATCACATGGCCAAAAGAATTCCAGCAGAGTTACACGAAAACTCATTCCGCAGTCTCGGTTGGAATTGAAATAAATTTGTAGCTATTAGACTAAATTATTGATATTTAATTCAATTTGCATGTTGTGCATGTGTGCCGAGGCTGTCTGGGGCCACTATAAAGCATGAATATTTTCCGCGATTTAATTTTAACGCTTTGATAAATGATCGCGGGCCGCCCTAATTGTAACTCCTACTTAAGGGGCGCGCTCGTGCGCGTGCGGCCAAAGCACTCTATAAACGCCATAAAAGGTGGTTCAGTGCAGCGGAGTCAACCTATTTCAGCGACCACCTTCATTGCAAGCGTTCCACTTTGCACCGGTTACTTATGATTAAATAATTCCGTTCGATCTCTCGGCTCCATGGAAGCTGAGTGCGCACTATCATTTGGATCACTCTTCGGCTTCTGGTCGCCGCCGTTCAATGTCAACGAAGAAACGTGTCCCATTCACCAGGTGGTTCAGGTTGCATTACCGGAAGGTAATTGATGCCCACAGGTTGAAGGGATTGTGTTTTATTTTTACCGGCAATACATTTACTTAACAAAAAGTAGATCAAATCATTGCATACCGAGGTGGTTGAATCACACAAGTTGACGTCAGTTAGAATGACTTCTGGGATTGTCATTGAACCATAGGCTTCTCTGAATGCCTAAGTAGTTGGTGTGCTAAAATTGGAAGCTCTGAGTATATGTGCAAGAAAATGATGCGTTTTTCTTGCACTTATGCTAAGAACTAATGAAAGAGAGAAGGATTAGTAATTTCCATTTACTTCCACTACACTCATACAATTTGACACATTTTTACTGGTGAATTTCTATGTCAAATTCCACATGATTTTCATGTGTCTACACATAAACAGAAACCACTCAGAAGTACACATGAAATTTATGAATCAAATGAATAGTATGTGTGGTTACACATGAATGTTATTAATTCATGTGTGGGAAACATAAAAATAATCATTGAATTTTGCTTAGTGTACGTTAATTACTTATCCTTGACAGATACGGGTATTTCGTCAACAATATGCAGACTGGAATGAAATGGAAATTCCCAATCCTTCTCTCTTTCATTATTCAGGCATTCAACTATATGCATCCACATTAGACTGATGCAAAATTTGAAATTTTCGCTCCACAGTGCTCAAACGGTTTCAAATCAGGTCCTGATTAGCCTTCCAAAATTTAAACTCATTTGGTAAGAAACTGACTTGGCACAAACTATTCGAAGTTTATATGGAAATTACTATGGGAAAACCAAACTTTTTGTTCATTGTCTACTATCCATTTTCCATATTGCTTTTTCGAAAAGTTCTATAACTATTCTTATGGGAATTTTTCTAAGCTACAACTTTGCGGAATACCGTTTTTCAGCCAAATGTCAAATTAAATAGTTATTAATTGTTTAAGAGATTGATAATCTTATGGCATGATCAAGCAGCTGTTCTGTTAGCAACACTGTATTCTGCAGTGTGACATAGTAGCCATGATATTTGTGCTCTATTCTTCTCACTAGAAACACCAATGTTGCCTGCTGAACAGTTGAATGAGCATAGTCATAAGACATCAGTGACTTGAATCATTAATAACTTTTGTTCAGATTATTTCAAATTTTGGGAGGCTAAGCAGGACCCAATTTGGAACCGTTTAAGCACTGTGGAGCGAAAATTTCAAATTTTGCATCAGTCTAATCCACATTCATCAGGATTAAATTAGAGCTACTCATTTTACCACGCTAACCAATACACTAACACTTATGTAATCTCAAGGCCTAGTGCCTAGAAATACTCAGAGGGAGAGATGGGCGGAGAGAACGTTTTAAGCCAAAATCTGAGCCAATCGTACATTCCAATTAGAATTTTTCCGAGGATTTCTTATTCTTACTAGAATAAATTTGAGAGTATTGCAATCGAACAGAAATTCAATCACCTTTATGTTTTGTGTGCTTCTCAAATTCAACTATTTTTTTGAACCTATAACAATATTCTAACTCTATTGATTAATTGTTCTTCGTTGGTTAATGAATGGCACCAAGAAATGTGCAAAATATTGCGATGCAATCAATTATTATTTTGCACGTAAATCGAATCAAAAATAAAAGTCATTTAAAATGCTAGCTTCTAGCAAGGGTTGCAAGATAATTTAGGAACAAATCCCTGCTGCCGAATTGTATCTTGTTTTCTCCACCTATCTCTCCCTCTGAGTATTTCTACTAGTGCCTGAAAATATTATTGTATTACTTAGCCTACACGAAACGAAAATCAATTATTTTATTCATATGTTTCACTTATACATTTTTTCCAAAACAACAACCTTATACATTCCATAAGACATACCACATAGGTCCTATAATAATGCATAAAAGGTATGTGTGACCGCTTATACATTTCATTTGACACATGATCTTCATTAACTTTTTGCAAGGCGTCTGCTTATTAGTTGACTTATACATTTTATGAATAAACAGCAATAGAAATTTGCCAAAAGGTACAAGGAGATTTCTATCCGTGTACTGTTTCTACCTTCTGACTTATGTCGTACGAATTTTCAATATGAAAGTACAACTACATTTTTGTTAAACTCTGGAAGCTATTGATTTTATGCTCTTAATCTAAATTTAGCCCTGATGAAGATTTGAAGCTTTGGCGATGATAAAACTGCAATCAGTTATTTTTCTTGAAGACTGAAAAGCCGAAAAAATGTAACGAATTATTTAAGGCTTGTGTTCGAAAAAATGCCTTCAACTTTTTTATCCGTGGGTAAAAATTGATGAAAATCTGGGTATAACTAGTTTGGAGTGAATTGTTTACATGTGCAAAATTTCATAACAATCGGTTCAGTGGTTATTGCGATCGAAACAAGAAGAAAATCGCCGGAGAATTTTGCGCGCCGTCATGGAAAATCCGACTGCGACCATGAGATGGATCGGAGGACAACTGGGAATCACCCATAAAACTGTGTCTCGGTGGTAAAATCGTTTAAGGAGTCCCAGACGACCGAGCGGCGGTGCTGGAAGTGGAAGAAAATCTAAGACAGCTGACCCTGTGAAGGCCCGGAAGGTGTTGGATTATTTCAAGCG